TCTATCTATCTATCTATCTATCTATCTATCTATCTATCTATCTATCTATCTATCTATCTGCCTGCCTACCTACCTACCTACCTACCTACCTACCTACCTACCTACCTATCTATGAGTGACAGCAGGGAGACACAGGTTTCTTAGGATTTTCAGTGACAACTTAATCACTAAAAACAGAGATAGTCCTTGAACTGGAGACTGCTTTACAGACTGAAATAGAGAGTGAAACTTAATCATATAAGTTACCACCCAAACTCAAGGGAAAAAAGGCAAGGTCTTAATCTGTAGCCCAGGCTAGCCTTGAACTTGTAATCCTCCTGCCTCTGCATCCTGAATGCTAGGGTTACCACTGTGTGCCAACCCACCAATCCCTTTGTAAGTCCCGTTTTATAGGGCAATCAGCTAAAGGCAGAACATTAACTTCCAGAGAGCCTTTCTGCTTTGCCCAAATAAGTGATACATGCATTCTTGGGATGATAACAAGGACTGAGAAACTTCTAAACCCCAAAATGATGAGAACTGTAGATATCAGGAGAGAAAGATGGGACTCTGTGAGTCTCATAAAGGAAGTTTCATCTTTTTAAACAGTAAGGTTCTCCTATATACTTCCTTTTAAGTATGAAAAAATTTGAGATTCAGAATCTGATCTTAACACAACAGCCTCTAATTCACTGTGCATTCTCATTAAGTGAGGCAGCTCCTTGGGCATAAGTCCCATTGGCCTTAAAGACAAAATCACTTTAGTGCTCAGTGATAGATCAAAACCCATCCTCAAACAAGGACTCATCTCATCAGAGCTTTTAACACGAGCTCCACTTCCATCAAGCCAATGGGTTCACTGTCATCGGCAGGTTAAATTCCCTTTCTGTCAGTTGAAACATTTCCTTAACTAAGTATATGTTAAAAAAAAAAAAAAAAAAAAAAAAGAAAGAAAAGAAAAGCCAACAGTTTAATGCCTGGGCTCCTGAGGAAACTAGATGCCAATCTCCCATTTCATGAATGTCCCATTCAGCAAACCCAGCAGACCCCAGGTACCTTTTTAATGGTGTTGTGCTTGCTGCTAGTGCTGCCCCTGTCCGAGTTCTCGTTGTGTAGGATGTCCAAGGCTGTCTCCCTCTCTTTGAGTTTCAAGGCCTCAATTTCTGTCTTGAGTTCATTGAGTTGCTCTTGTAGATGCTTGCTCTTCTCCATGTACTCCACTCTGTGGCAAGAAGAAATCACACATTATGACTGGGCGGACAATGAGGCAGGGAAAAGATGAGGCATGACTTAGAAGCTGTTCAGTGTGGCAGCCTGGAGCCAAAGCTTGGGGTTCATACCTGAACTTGGCCACCCAGAAGCCAAGGGAGCTTGGGCTGTCTACTTAACTGCTATGAACCCCTTTCCCTATCAGTATAATTGAGATAATAATTACAGGTCCTCTGTGCAGGAAGAAAGTCCTGGGTAAACTTTCACAGTGTTCCACACACAACCCCTGCCAGACAGCTTTGGGTCTGTATGAAGAATCACAGCACAGAAGCCTCCTGAACCCCACATGCTTCTGTTTCTATCTTCTGGAAGCAGTAAACCAGGGGATCTCTTCAGTGCCACATCTACTCTCCCACTTACTCTGAAACCTTTAGAAAAAGATGGATGACGCTCACTCAGCCAACATCAGGAAGAAATAGGTCTCCACTTTCACCTGAAGAGGTTAAAGTGTTTAACTACGAGAGCATAAACAGAAACCTATATAACACAAACATAAGGAAACATTCTGAAGGGATTACTGTAGCCAGTTGCTGGGCTCTGCCAGTCTTTAATCCTCCTGCCTCCTCCTCCTGAGTTCTGTGGGCCACAGAAAAAGTGCTATGGGCTGAATGTCTGTGTCACCCCATTTATATGCTTCAGACGACTCACCAACGTTTTAGGAGGTGAAGGCCTGGGAAGTTATTAGTTCATCAGCCTTTAGGGATTTATATCCTTAAGGAAAAAAAAAAAAACCAAAAAAACAAAACACCAACCCTAGAGAGACCCCTTACGCATATAAGCTCACAGTGAGAAGGTACCATTAATAAACCAGGAAGAAGACTCTCATTAAACTGAGCTTACAATGCCTTGATCTTGGATTTCTAAGCTTCCAGAACTATGAGAAGTAAACTTCTGCTATTTATAAGCTTTCCAGCCTCTGGTATTTTGTTATAACAGCCAAACACCCTAAGACAGTAAGAAAATACAAACTATAAAAAACTAAGACACAGAACAGGATGTGGCCTTATGCTGATCACAACCACATAAACATGTACATCTGGACAACGAGAAAGGAACTCAGACTGATGCTCAGAGCAGCAGCTCTGGATCACCAGCTTCTTAGCTGTTCTCTCAGCATGAGGGATCAGAGGAGACTAGCCTGCTTCCTGATCGTTCATGCTGGACTCCAGATTGCTATTCTTACAACAATTAATAAGGGGTTTCAATCCTTGTCCTGTTCCTCAACAGCTATGTGGATGCTGGGTGAACTCATCAAACTACGTCTATTCTCCTTCATGTAAGTGGAACACTAGAACTGGTTTTTGGAGATTGGACCTCATTGCTCCTACTTCTACTTCCTGAGTTCTAAGATGACTGGTGTGTACCACTATACTAGAGTTTGAACCCAGGGCTTTGTGTATATTAGGCAAGCACTCTGTGAACTAAGCTATTTCCTCAGTCCCTAAAACCCGCCTTTGGTGCCAGTGGGATGTTTGTTACTTGGCATGAATTAAGAGAAACACTAAGAAGCCACGACACACAGGTGCTCAATCCACAGTGTTACTGCGATCTCTGCCAGCTGTAGCACTATTAACCAATTTACTTCTGGCTCAAGGAATGAGAGGGATCTTACTTAGATCCTCCTCCCCGTCTCCGCTCTACTTCTGCTGACCACAGAGCAGAGGGCAGTACTTGACAGAAGTGGCTGTGGTCTGGCTGGGCTGAAGCTCCACTCTGGGTTGCCAGCATAGTAGAACTCTTCTCACCTGGACCATGGCTTTGCTCAGCCTAGGAACTTTTTTTTGTTCCTTTTTCTTCACCTGTGTTCTAGAACCACGGCTGAAGAAAGAACATGACCCGAAGAAAACTATAGTTTAGTACTCTGCAAAGTATAACTAACAGTCTAACTCAGGAACTCACCATAACCCAGTCCTATTCTTCCGTCAAGGTTTAAACCACTATAAACTCCAGGATATCATCATAATCAAGTGTTATTTTCATCCTTGGCTGGTGACTGTTGTCCTGATCTCTTATCTTTAATTTCTAATAAGGAAATTTGTTCTCTAGTGGGTGATCACAAAGCAGACCTCTGTAGGTAATGACTAGCTGCTGTTGTGACCTCTGTTTCCTAGGCCACACCCACTCACTCATGTTCATGACTGCCCCAAGCAGGGCACAGAGGGTACATACTTCTCTTTCTCTATCTCCATGGAAAGTCGCTTCATGTCAGTATCCTTGAAGTCGAACGACAGGCTATCACCGATGATGTCGAAGTTCGGTATGTCAGGAGGCAGCGGGGCTGGGATTGGGTTCATGGGCTGTCAGTGAGAATGCTCAGATTAGGAGTCAGTACTTGTGGTCCCAAAACAGCCACATTCAGACAAGCCAACCTTCTCTGCTCAGATCTCATCATTTCCATGATCACTTGAATCAAACACAAACTTATACTCAGCTTTTCATTTAGGAAATTCCCAGGCATTGGGCTCGGAGCTGGAGACACAGAGAAGACAGGCTCCCTGGCTCTAAGCAGACCAAAGTCTTATTCACAAAGCAGATGTGTTTGCAATCCTGTTAAATAAGGTGGACACTAGCCAGGGGAGGAATGGAATCTTAGGAGGTTGGAGAGGTCTGCTAGGGAGCTACGTCCGTGGGGATCAGTGAATGTGCCAAAGGAGAAGGGTGCCAGGCAAGAGGCATGGTGGCAGAGGGTGCAACAGGAGCCCTGGGCATTTGAAGTGACCCTGTGGAGGGGTGGTAAGTGACTGGCTTTGGATCAGAAAGGCTTTGCTGGTATGACAGAGGCTTAGATTCAGAAGAGAGCCAAAGAAGGGCTTGAAGGCTAGTAAGGTGATGTCATTAAACTTGCTTTCAGGACCTTCTCATCTCACAACGAAAGGTCACCTAACATACAACCCCTATCTACCTCTCTAGTGTCCCTCATTATTTGTCAAGTTGTGGACAGTACTGTTTATCCTTGGGCCATGCCACGTTCTCATTTGTGCACTTAACATGTATCCTTTTCCCCCTCCCTGCTGCTCTCCCCTTTCTTCCTCCTTCCCTGTCATTTTCTGTGGTCCTAGGGCTGTGCATGTTAGGTAAACACTCCACCACTGAGCTATGTCCCCAGCCCGAGTCTCTCTTGTTTTGTTGTTTTTGTTGTTGTTATTGCTTGTGAGATGGGATCTCACCACATGGCCGAAACTGGTCTCAAACTGGTGAGCCTTCTATCCCAGCTTTCTGAGTGCCAGGACTACAGGTATATGACATCACGTCTAGCAAGTTCTCCATTTCTCTTTCGAGGTTCTCAGCTCCTTCAGTCTTTCACCAAAGCCCTTTCCCTTTGCAGCTCTTGAGCACAGTGTGCACAGTGCACAGCGGGCGGCTCTTTCCTCAGGGCCACACTGCAGAGGTCCCTTGTGGTTATGTCTTTTTCTTTCTACGGCTACAGACGTTCTGAAGGCAGACTCTGGCCTTTCATCCTTTGATCTTTTACTGAGTCTGGGACAGTGTTTGAAAGGAACAGAACCTCTCAACTTTCATTTATGGCAATGAGCTCTGAGGCAGAATGTGTGCAGAGTGTCAAATGTGCCTCCGAGCAGGGACATCTAGGTAATGATGTCTAGGGCTGAATTTTGGGTATGTGAAGGTCTGGTCTGTGGAGGTATAACTTACAGATGACTATTTACCTGATACTTCAGAGAGGAAGAACACTAGCCAGGACCTGTTTCTGCTCATGAAAACAGAAACTGGCATAACCTCTTTGGCAGGTGTCACAAATGAACATCAGACCTCACAGTTCTACTTATGAGAACTGATTTTTACCAAAACTGTCACGTGTGTGTGTGTGTGTGTGTGTGTGTGTGTGTGTGTGTGTGTGTGTGCGCGCGCGCAAGCGCAAAGATTTGTGTTCAGGAACGTTCCGTGAAGCTGTATTCAAAATTGCTACAGAAAACATACTAAATACCCATCTACAGGGACTGGCTAGCTGAATTACAATCCACCCATCTGACATGATGTGATTAAGGAATTGCTGTGCTGTCCTCCGAGACACATTGCTAAAGAAGAGCAGTTTATAACGTTTGCTCCAATAGATGTTCTAAACACATGTATTTCAGGTACACAGGCTAGCCGAGCCCTCAAACTACCAAAATCCCAGCTGTCACCTGACTGTGACCATCTGAGAGCTCTTGAGAGAAGACATGAGCCTGATTAATGCACCATGCCCGAGAGACAAATAATGGTGTTTGGGGTTACTTGTTACTCAGGGATAGATAACAAGGACACATGGCAATAGCAAACTGCTCACATTCCCCCAACTCAAACCTGGGGCTCTTATGTCTCTGTGTCCTGAATTCATCTGTGCCATATGTGAATGTACCATGTGCACAAACGTGCAGTGTGTTTCTCATGTGCACAATTGTGCAGTATGTGTGTAGCATATGTGTGAATGAGTTATGTGTCTGTGCTGTGAATACATGGTGTCCTTGCCTAGAATATCCCATCCTTTCTTCCCTGCCCAGTAGGGCATCCTGGTCCTCTGCAAAACGCAGCCATACTGAGCTTTTCCTTCTTGCAGGGCTGGGTTGTGATCTGGGTACATGTGCATATCTGTCAGGTAGAGATTTCCAATTGATGATATTATATGGACAGAGAACAAGTGATCAAAACTGTGTGGATTGGGTTGTTCAGAGCAAATGAAGGGAAGCAATGTCTTCTCATCTTGTGATCCTACTTAGTACAAGCCAGCCTCCCTGTTCCCCAACCCAGGCTGGCAGCTAATCTTAGCACAGCAGTGATTTGCTGAGGAGTAGTCAGGCCCCTCACAGAACCACATCATAGCAATAGCATATACTGATAGCTGAACATTACATTTAGATTGGCAGTAGGGAGCTAGACAGCCAATTCTCTTGAGGTAAAGACTATAACACAGTTACAAACATTCCAGAGCTGGAAGGGCCCAAAGGTCTTTTATCTACATAACAAGAGAGGTAACTGACTAGTCAGCCCAGGGCTAAATGGCAGACTAGGAGGGTCCAATCCACAACTTGCTTTGTCACCCTAAAGGCACTGTGAGGGGAACTAAAAGGCTCAGAGGCTTAGGGAAGTTGCCAGACCAAAACAGCCCAAAGTGGCTGGACTGAGGCAGGCTCACTGGGTATGTGGGCTTGGCGGCCATTTCTAAGAGCTTCTGCTTGGCTCTTCGCTCTGCTTCCCGGGCTTCCTGCAAGTCTTGCTTTAGCTGGTCAGCCTCCTTGGCCCTGCAAAGAAAGAAAGAGACGTCAGCTCCTCCGAAGGGGACAGAGAGGGTGTGCAGACACCTTACATCCAGAGCAAAGACCTGGATTAACCCTGTACCTGGCACCTAACAAGGCAAAGAAGGACAATGTGTCAGGGACATCTACAGGAAGCCAGAACAGTATTCCTGGGTACCGTTTATCTCAATGGTAAAGCTAGAATGGAATATGGGTAGCTGCTGGGAAACAACCGAAGCGGCAGTTCTGCGATCCAGCAAAGTGCAGTGGTTTGTGCCTTTGGTGCCAGCTACCCCCAAGGCTGAGGCAGAGGAATCACTTAAGCCCAGGAGTCGGAGGTCAGCTTGGGCAACACAGGCAGATGCAATCTCAAAATAACAAAAACTAGAAGTGTGGTATTCCATGCCAGCACTAGGAGGCAGAGGCAGGCAGATCTCTGAGTTTTAGGCTAGCCTGATCTACACAGTGAGTTCTAGGCCAGCCAGGGCCACATAGTGATACCCTGTCTCAAAACAAACAATAACAACAGAACAGGTGGTGAGGCGGGAGCATAGGTAGGGCCCAGAGGCACTCTGCTTGTTTCTAGGTGAAGAGTGAGCTGGGCAAAGGAGAGCACAAGCCTTGCACAAGGGCCAGAAAGGGCAGAATGTGAAAGAACTGCTTCTTCAAACCTCCAGTAAAACACTGTAAGGTCAGACAGACCGTATTGTGTGCAAGAATGCTCTTTTCTCTGCATGTGGAGACTGAGTTTGGGTTTTGTTATTTGTATTTACTACTGGCATTTGTTTCAAGCAGTACAGCTTTTAAGTCTGCAGTTAGTTTAGGACCAAGGGCAGCAGACAAGAATGACCCAGGCTTTCTAAAGGGAAGACAGGAGAAAGGTCCCCCCAGTGGCCAAGTATCCACTTTCCTTGGGCAGGAAGAAGTCCCATCACTGAGGGCATCTATGTCTTGGTGCAGAGACCTGCTCGATGGGTTAGGTGTAGCATTGGAAGGTTCTACAGAGGTCTAGCCCTAGAGACATGATCCATACACAGAAAGGGGCCTGGAGTAGATAGGCATCAAGGAACCACATTCTCAGAATGACATGTAAAAGTGGTGAGAAAAACTGTAGTGAATATACCTTAGTAGCTAAGAGCCAAATTCAAGTGCTCTAAATCAACAGAGCCAGATGCTATGGGGACTGTGTCAGAGTTTATCCGAAGGCTGCAGGACTAGAACAATCCAGAGCCTAGAATAGTCTGAAGAGTACAGACAATAGTTCTATCCTTCCCCCTGGGCACAAGCTCAGGCAACCTGGTCACAAAAATACACAATTCCCTGTTCCCCTAACTACCTGAAAAACTGCAGGGAAATGGGTAGTTTGCCTTTTGAAGTAAATAACTGCCACTGACCTGCATCAAAATGAAAAGAACCAAGCTGATTTTGTGTGTGCACGCGCACACGTGTGCGGGATAAACATTCTTGTGTGTGAGCCTGTGCAGGGTCAGTATGGGGTATAATCCTCTACTGCTCCCCACCTCAGTGGACGGTCTTTCAGTAAATGTGTGCTTATTAATTCAACTAGACTGGCTCGCCAGTGAGTCCCATGGATCCGCCTGCCTTCCCCAGCTCTTTTGTTGAGGCTGCAGACACTGCCATCGCACTTACTTGGCTGCTGGGATGCAAAGCCAGGTTTTCATATTTGTGCAGCAGGCACGTTACTGGTAAGGCCATCTCCCTGGCCCCCCTTCCCATTTCAGAAATTACTGTATTATGTGTATGGGTGTTCTGCATGCATGTATGTTTTTGTACCATGCGCATGCCTGGTACCCATGGAGGCCAAAGAGGGGGTTGCATCTCCTAGAACTGGAATTACAAATGGTTGCAAGTCACCATGTGGGTGCTGGGAATCCAACCCAGATTCTCTGGAGAGCAGTCAATGCTCTTAACCTGAGTCATCTTTCCAACACACTGCTCCTACCCCCCTTAGTGCAAAAGAACCTCTTCTCCTCTCTGGCTAAGAGCAGTCTATGGTATGCGTAACTGTTTTTTCCTGCACACTTCCCTATTAGAAGGACAGGAGTCTGCTGTGAGTGCACGACAGAAAGGTTCCTTGGGAAAGAGAACTATGTCCTATGCCCTCCCAGTAGCTGTCATCCCACCAGCCTGTTCAGGAAGAAGTCTTGTAGTCCTGTTCCTACAACAGAGAAGTCTGAGGATGCTACAACCAGCTCCAGTAGGGTTGGGACCAAGCAGATGAGCCTTCAGCAGGCTTCAGGGCCCAGGACGATCACTCACCTCCTCTCTGACTCCTCAGCCATCTTCAGCGCCAGCACTTCAGCCTCCAGCACCTTCTGCTCCATCAGGCGCTTCTCCTCCTCGGTGCGAATGGCTGTGGCCTTGATCCGCTGCATCTCTTGCTCAGCCTCTGCAGCCTTCTGTGCCAGAAGCTTGGCCTCCTCCTCTGTGATCTGAGCCTTTTCAGCCAACAGGTCAGCTGTTTCCTCAGATCGCATCTGGGAAGAAAAGTGCTCTCAGCTAGTGTAGGATCAGCGCCTACTTACCATGTAGGGAAAAGTAGTCTCAAGAGAGTGAGCACGCTTATCTCCCTATACCAGGGCCCCCTGCACAGGGCAGCAAGGACCAGCCTTTTTTATTCACTTATTTCTTTACTTTTATTTTTATGTGTATAGGTGTTTTGTCTGCGTATATGTCTGTGCACCTGTACACGCAGATGTAATACCTTTAGAAGCCAGAAGAGGCCATTGGATCCCCTGGGGCTAGAGTTACAAATCTTGAGTTACCCCATGGGTCCTGGGAATCCAACCTAGTCCTCTGCAAGAGTAGCCAGTGCCCTTGACCTCTGAGCTATCCCTCCAGCCCCCTAAGAGCCAGTCTTAATCTCCCTGTGCCTTCCCACTGAGAGATTCCCAGTCTGCCTGACAACAGATGACATGCTACACACTGCAACTATTCAGCAGGGCTTTGTAGGCTCTACCATGGGAAAAAGAAACAAAAGCATCTATGTAGAGAACGCATTTCTGCTGAAGCTTATGCTTATGAGGGAATGAGCAATTTAAACTGTGTTCTGTCCCTTTAAGTCACTGATTCAAAAGCAGAGGTGTCATGCCCACAGCCCACTCCTGTGCAAATGTCTGGAGACTATTTCCCTGCAGTGCTGAAGAATCAAAAACAAGGCAGCTTGGGCACGGCAGGTATGCCTTTCATCCAACCATTTGTGAAATGAGTCAGGGAGGATCAAGAGTTCAAGGTTATCCTTGACTATATAATGAATTCAAGTCCAGTCTGGGATATCTGAAATTGCCTCTTCCCACTTACCACTCCAGAAAAATAAATACAAACTGTGGGCATGTAAGAAAAGGGCTCTGCCCCTGAGCCACATCCCAGTCCTAGGCATTTTTGAGGTTGGAGTGGTATTACTGGCAGCTAGCAGGAAGAGGTAGGAACTATACAACTATCCTTCAATGCAAAGGATTACTCCCAGATTATGGCTAGTACTACTTCTCAAAAATTGCTAGGGCCAAGGCCAATAATTTCTAATTCAAAGGAATCTCAGTTTTGAAAGTATAGTTTGGTTGCAAATGAACCTGACCTAAATTTTCTAGTAAGAAAAGGCACTGGTGTTTTAAAAACAAATAAATTCATGGTCTGTAGGAGGCCTAACTCCACAAGTGCCCGTATATCCTCCGGGCCCTAACCCTCGGAAATCACCAGAGCTTCGTTGGCCATGGTGGCTTCTTCTTTCATCTGCAGAAGCCTCCTCTCTAACTCGTCTCTTGTACGCTCTGCCTCCTCCCGCATCTGCTTCTCTCGAGCCAGCCGCTGTCGCTCCATCTGGGAATGAAAGAACAGGTTCATGTCACAGTGCTCCAGAAACCCAAGAACAGCCAGTTTCTGGAGCCTCCCTCTCCACTGGGGGGACCTTTCTCCTGTCTTCCCTTTAGAAAGCCTGGGTCATTCTTGTCTGCTGCCCTTGGCCCTAAACTAACTGCAGAATTAAAAGCTGTACTGCTTGAAACAAATGCCAGTAGTAAATACAAATAACAAAACCCAAACTCAGTCCCCACATGCAGAGAAAAAAACATTCTTGCACACAATACGGTCTGTCTGACCTTACAGTGTTCTGTTATTTAGGAAACCTCACAGAGTCCTGCCCTGTGACTGGAAGTTCTCCATATAGGTTTTTCCTCCCCAAAACAGGGGTCCAGAAAAAGCAGCTCTCTTATCTGTTCACCTTCACATTTCTAGTCCATATGGCCCCTTCACACAGTTTCATCCACAATAGTGCCACTTCTCCATCCGCTTAAAGAGAATGATAGTTCCCATACAGAATTTCACAGCGCGAAGCTGCAGTGGCTTTTGCAGTCTTGTACAGCTCCATGCGGGGGCAACTCAGAGCAGGAACACAGACCCCACCCTTACAGAAACAGTACAACAATGCCTTTACTGGCACCCCTAGCCTTCTGGATCATAGTGTTAACTGTGCCACCTGCCAAGCTTAATAATAGCACCACGACTAAAGACAGCAGAGTTTCCTGTGACTCCCAAGGCACTGACTTCAGAGAGCAGAAGCCAGAAGTGACCAATGTACTATATTCTGCTTTAGATAACAAAATCATGTTTAACTACTACTCTTAAAAAAAAGATTTATCATTTATTGTTTATTATTTATACAGCATTCGGCCTGCTCACCAGAAGACAGTAGCAGATCTCACTGTAGATGGTTATGAGCCACCATGTGGTTGCTGGGAATTGAACTCAGGACCTTTGGAAGAATAACCAGTGCTCTTAATCTCTGAGCCATCTCTCCAGCTCCTAATTACTCCTTCTTGCTTCAATTTCACGCAAATTCTACTACTACAAGGCCATCCTTTCTAAATATGAAGACCCCCTTAGGACATCTTTTTTAAAGATTTATTTATTTTTTATGTATACAATGTTCTGCTTGCATGTACACCTGCACGCCAGAAGAGAGCACCAGATCTCATTATAGATGGTTGTGAGCCAGCATGTGGTTGCTGGAAATTGAACTCAGGACCTCTGGAAGAGCAAGCAGTGCCCTTAACCTCTGAGCCATCTCTCCAGCCCCCACTTAGGACATCTTAATTGAAAGAATCATGCAAAATAGACAAGCAATAAAGTAAATTCTTTGATTTTCTTCTTGATCTCAGTGAACAGCTTGGCAACCTGTTCTTCATTTTCTACTAAAACACAATTTCTATTTCCATTCTCCTTTTGAAAAAAAGATCCAGGCAGTTGTCAGTTCCCAGCCTTGTACTTTTCATGAAACCTTCATCCTAAATAATAAAGGACTTCCTGTTTTCAAAGACAGTTATGACTTACGAAGATTTTTAGGTAAAATTTGTTCTCTGGAAAGAAGCATCACTAGCTCCACTTGACAGATGAGGAAACTGAGTCTTGTACTAAAGAAAAGATTTAGTTATAGGGTTGCCAGATTCCATTGAATGGCATTTGCACTATTCTCTTCCAGGGCCCAGGCACCAGGGCCCATAACTTCCCTTGATGCCTTTAGATCTCTAACTTCTAAACTTCACTCTACTGAAAGACGCAAGTCAAAGAATATGCTTTTTAAAGACACTGCTATGCCCACGCTAGTTTAGTAGCACATTTCTGTTCAATAGAACCTATAGCCTCACCCCTAAGGCATCCTAAGGAGCACACTGATGGCCTACTGTCCCAGAAAGCAAACCAAGGGCAAGCGCACAGCTCACTGGCTCAAACTGGGCATTTCTCTCTAAAGCCTGGGGCGCGGAGCCAGCCTCTCTGGAGTTCCCAGATCAGATAATACCACACAGACTAATTATTACACCTCTGAGCTTGTGAGTCCTGAGGGGAGCCAACTGCAGCTGTAGCTGCTCTATCAAACAGTTCATCCCAAACCACAATTGATATTCTCAGCAGCAAGGATCAAATTAGCTGTGGATTTCAGTGAACAGAGAAGGTCTGTGAGAAGAAAACAATGATGTAGCTAGTCCAGTCTGCCGGTAGGTGCTACCAGCACACCTTCAGAGGCTCAGCCATGTGTGCCCAGACTGACCTGCAGTGAGGAAGTACAGCTGGGAGCCTAATTAGCATCCCACAGCACGCACGGAAAATGCCATTTTGTAGTCTATCACCATCTAATTAGAAAGGGCACTGACCTGGCAGAGGAGACATACATAAAGAAAGATAGCTAGACAGACAGAGAGACAAAACCATGCCTGGCTATCTTGTCCCAACTCTGTGATAACAATTAAAAGTATAGGAACGACTAAGGGTCTTAGCTTTTTTCTTTCTTTCCTTCCTTTGTTCCTTCCTTTTTCTCTCTCTCTCTCTTTCACACACACTCTCTCTTTTTCTTTCTTTTGGTTTTTCGAGACAAGGCTCTCTGTTTAGCCTTGGCTGTTCTGGACTCGCTTTGTAGACCATGCTGGCCTCACAAAGATCTGCCTGCCTTTCCTCCCTGGAGTGCTGGGATTAAAGGAACATGTCACCACACCCATCTCAGACCTTGAGGTTGTTTGATAAATCTCCTTTAACATTTCTCTTATGTTTACTTATTCATGCATGCAGGTGTGCCTGTGGTAGTGAGAGGACAACTCGTAGAAGTCGTTTTCTCCTTCTAGCTAGCACATGACTCCGGGTATCAAATCAGGCTGTCAGGTTTGCCCACTGAGCCATCTCACCAGCCCAAGTGCTTATTTCCATAGCTGACTGCCCACTATCTGGGCATTAGCTAATAAAGATCCAACAGAAATGAAAAAAGAGCAGGTGCATCTATAACCATAATATTCTAGCTGACAACAGCTATTCCTTATCTTGTAGGCCAAGGCTGACCAAAAGCAGCACCAATTAAAACAAGGATTTTAGTTGTTATTATTCATTCTTGTATGTGTGAGTGGCTGCATGAAGTATGTGGTGCATGTCCTCTGGCACAAGTGTGGACATCAGAGGACAACTCTGTGGAATCAGTTTTCTTTCCATCTTACATGGGTTTCAGGTAGTGTCAGGCTTGCACAGCAAGTGCCTTTCCCTGACAAGCACCTTGTTAGCCCTAAAAAGCCATGTCTTAGCTGGCCATGGTGTACACATCTGTGATCCCAGAATTAGGGAGGCTGAGGCAAGAAAACTGTCTTGGTTTGAGGCCCGACTGGGGTCCACCGACTGTACCAGGCCAGCCAGGACTACACAGTAAGAATGTGTCTCAAACAAACAAAAGACCAGAAGGAAAAATTCAAGCTTAGTAAAGCTCTTGCTATGCAGACCCGAGTTTGAGCCTTAGCACCATGAAAAAGACCAGGCATGATAGCATACTAGGGAGGTAGAGACAGACAGCGCCTGAGGACTTCCTGGCTTAGCTTTATCACTGAGTCCCTGGTCCACTGAGAGACGCTGCCTCAAAAGGCAAAGTAGATGGCTCTTGAGAAATGATACCTCAAGGTTGACCTGTGGCCTCCAACATCAAGTGCACAAATACATACATACACAGAGCAAATGAGACGAACATAGCCTTCCTCACCTGCTTTCTAGCCTTCTCCTCTCTGGCCTGGGCTTTCATCTGCTGAACTTCTAAAGAGTCAGCTTTCCTCCTCCTCATGAACAGGTCATGGTTCCCAATACACAGCTGGAGAATCTGTGGTCACAGAAACAGAGAACACGGTAAGCACACAAATCTATTTGGCTGCCTACCAGCCTACCATGCCAGCAGTAAACCTGAGGGTGAAATGGAATAAAACACAAAAGCCCTGCTGATGGCTTCTAATGCTCTGTTTTGGAAATATCTACAAGAAGGTGCCTCAGATAATCCAGGAGATAAAAATCACAAGTGAGGAGAAGACACTCCATTAGTCACCCAAATGTACCAACCATAGTCTCCTAAGTCAAGGTGTGGCAAGGCAGATCAGGGGGACAGGGAAGACCAACCAGGATGCTGGGTTATTCACATACAAAGAAATAAGCTGGTTCTCTCCCTCATGCCAAAAAGCTGATTCCAATTTCAAAGGTAACTTTTATTTGAAAATCAGGAAAATGAAAGATGTCAAGTAAGAAAACACAGAGGAACAAATGTGTCAACATGAGAGGTGAAAATTGTTTGTCATGACATCATAGAGAAGGAAAGTGAATCTCACAAGGAAAAAGGGTAATAATAAAGAAAACAAACAAACAAACAAACAACCCAACAGGAAAGTGGCCAAAAGACATGAGCAAGAATGAACAGGAAATTAGATTTGGTCAACAAATTATAAAATGGGACTTCATTAGTAATTATAAAGTGCAAATCAACATGACAAGTGGAGGGCTGAGCTATACTTCGGTGGTAGAGTGTTTCCGGGCATGCAGGAAGCCTTAGATTTTATTCCTTTACCAGAAAAAAAAAGTTAGCTCATTAACTCTGTAGGTTACCAAATCAAATATTTCACACCTCTTAGCAAGAGAAACTAGGGCCATCTCCTCGGCAGAGAAGCTTAAAAAAGGCAATACACATACATGCATACTACATATAGCGCATTTAATTCCTCAAAAAATTCAGTCCTCTGTCATGAGCACAAGGACCTCAACTTACCAGCTTATTAACACGCAGCTTCGAGGAGTTAAACTTGAAGACATCAATTTTCTTATCCAGTGGTTTAATAGTAAACTGAAAGAAAGGAGTACAGTTTGAGGTGGTACCCACTGGGAATCCACAAATATAAGCAACCAAACAGCCTAGTCCTGGCTTCCTGGTACCCAGGAATGAAGCCTTGGTGAGTTAGAGACATACTAAGCACCAAGATCGGGGCTGCAGAAGTTCATAACCGTAACCATCTTAGAACCCGTGATGGGCCTGTTCTGGAAGCTACGCTGGCACAGCTCCTTGCCTTCATAAAGCTCACAGTCTAGTAGGAATTAGTCCAACAACAGCCAAACACTTGAGATACCACCATATGTTAGTGTCTCATTGGTAGGACATGGTAAAAATATGCTAGAGGTTTAAAGCAGACCTACCACAAATGGGAGGTCTTAGTGTATGGCAAGTAATAAGAATAAATTCAGTCTCTGACATTGAAAAGTAAGAAAAGAAGGAGGAGACGGTGAAGAGGAAGGGGCAGAGATATCAACCTTATGAGCTCTTTAGCATCTGCAATGATTCAGCAGACTTAGACAGAAGGCTGAGAAGTGGTGAGGAATAAAAAAGTCAGAAGGGTTATAGTTGATATAAGATACAGCAAGTTACTATGGATCTTTAAAGATGGTCAACTGGTAAAAGATGTTAAAAGAAGGAATAGTGTGAAGAAATTGGGTTGCTGTAAAATAGAAATATATAGTTCCTAAAATCAAAATGAAGGCTAGAGAAACTGAAACAAACAAACAAGAACAACAAAGAACCCCCAAACAAAAAGGCAACTGCCACTGTAAACCATTAAGGAGACCAGAGAGATCCTAGATTCCAAGGGTGGCCCCTGGAAATGTATCTCTAAGCTGGATATGATAACACATGCCTGTCATGTTAGCACTCAAGAGGCAGAGGAGGAAGACCACAAGTTTAAAGCCAGCCTGATTATATAAAGAGTTCCAGGCCAAGCTGAGAGGTGGTAGCACACGCCTTTAAACCTAGCACTTGGGAGGCAGAGAGGCAGATGGATCTCTGAGTTAGAGGCCAGCCTGTTCTCTAACATTGTGAGTTCCAGGACAGCCAAGGCTACACAGGGAAACGCTGTCTTGAAAAACTGGAAAGAAAAGAAACAAAACAAAAGAGTTCTAGGTTAGCCAGGGAAACATAGCAGACCCACTTCAAAACAAAACAAGCATATCTAGATCAAAGCATTTCATATGCACATATGAAAATGTCATAATGACACTCATTACTTTGTACAATTAGCACATGCTAACAAATACTGTAAAAGTACACACCCATTCCCAAGAAAGACTTGTATAGCTACTCCCAGCAAAGCAGGGGAAAAATGACTAAGCTAGAGGTGCAGTTCTTGCCTGCATGTGGTTTCTATCCTCAGGAACACAAAATGTAAAACTAGAAGAATGAGCTGCTTAGCAAATCAGTGTAGTGGGGAAGGCAGATTCTTGGGTATTTCTTTACATGTTTATACTGTTCGATGAGAAATGAGCACAGACAAGACCAAAAATCCTTAGTTTTGCTTTTGGCCAAGTTAATTTAGTCCTGTATTGCTCTGGGGTAGAATATTATTTATGAATTTCATAAACTTATTTCTAGCCTTGCTACTGAACATTTAGTGCTGTCAGTGGGATGCCACAAGCAGTGTGAAAACCACAGGCTCTATGTCACCCCAGGCCATACACAAAGAATCAATCAGCTTAAACCAATACTGTTTTAGCAGGACGACTGCCATACATAACTCCCCAAACGACTTCCCATTATGGCATGCCAAGGTAGCCAGAGGTCTGCGTGCCACGTAAGGATGGAACATGGTGGTACCTTATTCCTAGAGAGGGCAATTAGAGTTATTGTGTTAGGCATACCAGGGGGACCTTCATCTTTGAGCTCTCTTAAAAACAAGTATTTGAGGAACCTTTAGTGTACAATGTGTGATGTGTAGTGTACAGCCTTTGTGAATTGGGAAGTGAAGAACTAGTTACACCACAAAACACTCATGTGGAGCTTCCAATTTAAGAACCTGAAAAAAAAAAAGAACCATCCCAGAATAACCAGCTATAAAACCCAACACCAGAATGTCTAGGATTAAGAAATGCAATTGGGCCAGGCACAGTGGTGCATGCCAGGCTTCATAGAATAAACAGATATGTAGCTATCAGGGTCTGAGGGACTGAACTCAAGCCATTAGGCTTGACAGCAAGTACCTTACTCACTGGGCCACCTCAGCGGCCCACACTGTACTTATGCATTAGAACAGTCAAGTCATTACTGAACGGTGATTTCCTAGAGACCTAACACACATCTGTTTGCTCTGTTGAAGCCTGGCACAAGCACATGTTCAATAATTCCTTTAAAATGAATGAGTAGGAAGCTGAGGTGCTGCTCGGTGGGACAGCAATTGCCTTGCATATGCAAGGCTCTGGGTTTGATCCCTAGCACCATCCAGTAAAGAGAAAAAGAATGAATACATAAAACAGGACTACTGCATTTGGAGAAAGTCTTCATCTTATAAAAAAATATGCAAACCCACTCCGGGCACAGTGGATCCTGCCTGTAATACCAGAATTTAGGAGGCTTAGGCAGGAACACTGCTGTCAGTTCAAGGCCATTTTGAACTACACAGAAATGTTTGAACCCAGAGCTGAAGAGATGGCTCAGCGGTTAAAAGCGCTGACTGCTCTTCCAGAGGACCCAGGTTCAATTCCCAGTAACCACATGGCAGCTCACAGCATCTATAATTCCAAGATCTGACCCCCTCACACAGATATACATGCAGGCAAAACACTAATGCACATAAAATAAAAATAAATTAAAATAAGTATTTGAACCCAATGAATGTTATTTAAGTTTCCCAAACTTTATCCTTTAACCACTTGAAATATGGCAGTCTGCTATCTTTATTCATACCATTGCTGAAATATCCACTGACGGCTAATCTTGGTTGTCAATTTGACTATCTGGAATCAATTAAAACCCAAGATGTCAGGCACTCTTGTGAGGATTTTCTTAATCAGATTACGAAGCAGGGAGAACCACCCTAAATCTGGGCCATATTTTCTAGTAGTAGCCCACATAAAAGGACTCAGAAGAAGGAAACTTTGCTCTTGCCTGCTTGCTCTCACTCTTGCTAGCAAGCTCATCTGTCCTGTGGCTGCAACATTCCTTCACAAATATTAGAACCATTGGGATTACAACACAGACTAAACAGCAGCAGCTGTTCAAGAATCTTCTAGGCCTTCAGCACAAAAGGCGGCTGCAGAGATATCCAACCTGGTGGATTCTTAGCCTCTGCAGTGTGAGACAGCCATTGTTGAACTACTAAGACTTCATGCTATAAGCCAATCTAACGAGTATACCCTTTTAACAGACACATTCATCACATTAATTCTGTTTCTTTAGAGAATCTTGACTCATTAACACACCCTTTACAAAATATCTAACTATCAGCCTGGTATGGTGATGTATGCCTTTAATCCCAGAATTCAGAAAGCAGAGTTAAAGGCTGGCCTGCCCTATACAGCAAGCCCAAGGCCAGACAGCACTACACAGTGAGACCCTGTTAAAAAAACAGGACAAAAAAAGCACACCCCCCACACGCACGCATGCGTGCACACACGCACACACTCTCGCACTTCTCCACTGCATGTACCAAACACAGTACATAGGGAGAAGCTTAAAAGAGACCACACTTAAAATACAAGGAAACAGAAAGCCAAGTAATCAGAAGATGTTCCTTTTTCCTTCTTTCTGTTCTTTGGGGTTTAGTCCTGACAGGTTGAGCTAGTTGCTCTCTTATTAGTCAATAGTAGGATTTAGCCATGCACTTTGAAAAAAGGATGTCAAAACTCTCCATAAGTACTTTAAAAAACAACAACCCAAGTTCTAAAGCCTGGGAATTAAAGGCCTCTCACTGACAAGGAGATAATCTGTCTTGGGAAGCGTTGGCAGAGAGAAGAGACAGGAAAGGACCTTTTGCAGGACCACTGCACCGCAAGTGGCACCAGTACCACAGACATGTCCTACCTCCTTGTCGCTGTAGGAGATGTTTCGGATTTCATTCCAGGGGAAGGAGATCTTGGGGGTCAGCCTGTTCTCAGGGTCATAGATATGAAGCCCCAGAGCATCCACTCCAAGCAGCAACTCTGTGCCCTTTTTATTCTGCAGAGCCAATAAAGAGCAGCTGTTGTCAGCTTCCAACTGGGGATTTTATTCAACTTTCTAAAGAATCTGGCACACTGTTACATTTGACAAGTTTCAACAAGTCCCAACAGAAATCACAGCTCTCTTGTAACCCAGGAGGCTTCCAGCTTCTGGATTTAGTGAAGCAGAGTCAAAACAATACCATTTTTGTGATTGGTGTATCGCCTGAAAATATCACTGTGGACTCAAGGCTTCTGTCACTGGCTTGGTGGCTGAAGAAATGGTAATTTAAATGTTGTGAGTACTAGTTAAATGACCCGATTATCAGAGGGAGAGCCAAAATCCAAATGTCTGAACATTTCTCCCATTACAGGGAATGGCAGCTTTATGGCACCACTGTTGCTGGCTGGTAGTGCGGGCTGGCATATACAACACCCTGGATTTGATCTTCATCATCACACACACACAGGTTGCTGGGTTTGTAGAGGGAAATTTTAAGTCTAGGGACTACATGGGTTCATTTTAAGTTACAGTGCAGCTCCATGTAGTTTTGTATACCATACCCTAACACGGTACAATGCTAACTGCACTAGCTAGGTGGTGGGTATTTTTGGCATTCACTGAAAACTTCCCTTATGTTTCAAATGCTTGATAATTAAATGTTGGAAGAAATACAAAAATAAATTATATACAAATTACACATCTACGCAGCTGTTTAAGACACCTGTTAACTCTGACTGTTATCCTTCTGAGAACAGTCCTGGTCAACAGTTAGTGCAGTCAGAGGCTTAGTTCCCATGCCCCAAGTTACTGACCAGGCATGGAGCCATTTGCCTACCCTCACAGGCAGGCCAACTGAAACTCCCTGCACACACAAGGACACCACAGCTCCTGACCCCTTGCTGACAGGGAAATTGAGCCAAGACTCAGGGGTAGGAAAGCAGATCTGCAAACTGAGAAGGTGCTTGGGCTGTGAGAGAAGTGCCAATCTAACAGCAGGTGTTAGAGGGGAGGCAAGCACTCTCAGATAAATCTCACTACTCCTTCTAACACCTGAAATCAGGCCCTGCCACCCAGCCGTACAGTGTTCTGCTTGTCTGCAAAGCTTTTAAAATGGATGTGCTGAAGAAGTGCACATGGCTTGTATTTTTACAAGCCATTATGGAAAATAAGGTCTTTCCTTATGCTTTTGATAATTTAGTTTAAATTAAAAAAAAGAAAGGATTCCACTCTCTGCTCTCATTATGACTGACACTTCTAGAGACTAGAGAGGTTAACACAAACCACTCCTCTGAAACAGTTTGTCACACGGCACCCCATTAATATGTACCAGTATCTATTTATCAGTTAAAATAAAATGTATTAAGTATTTATCTTCCCTGGTTAATGATAGAATTTGAAATGTCTAATATAAAGGCACTTCAATGTCTTTAACTCTGTCTATTGTTCAACATAAAAAACAAAAATTAGTTCATGCTCATTTGATTAATGTGGAAATATTCCTTAACAAGAAGCTGGTTTTGGACTGCTGAGATGGCTCAGTGAGTCAAGATCTTCACTGCCACATCTGATGACTGAGTTGGCTCCCAGGATGCACAACAGATGAGAACTCTAGCCTGGCGTCCTCAGCCCACCACCACATACAGATAGATAACAAATAAAGTGTACATATATCCTCTAAGTAAATAAATTTATAAGAAACACTATTTTGTTTTGGCTTGGTTTTTGGAGTCAGGGTTTCTCTGTGTGGTCCTGACTGTCCTGCAACTCACTCTGTAGACCAGACTCACAGAGATCTGCCTGACTCTGCCTCCACAGTACTGGGATTGAAGATGTGTGCCACCACAGCTTTTTAAGGATTACAAAATGTTCTTTTGTAAACAATTAATGTTGGTGGGGGTTAGAGATGCTAATTTGGTTGACAAAACCACAGAAATGTATTAAATTGGTCTAACCTCAAAGAAATGAATGTCAAATACAAACTGATGAAGCTGTTAATTATTTAACACTTATGTGTGTTGTGCATGCATGCTAATGCCCCAGCACAGTGAAGATCACAGAATAATGTGTAGGAATCAGTTCTCTCCTTTCACCATGTGACTGAACTCAGGATGTCGGGCTTGGCAGCAAGTACCCTATCTACTACTCCATCTCACTGGTCCTAATGAAACATTAGACACAATCTTCTGCATTCTTTTTTTTAAGATTTGTTTTTTGTTAAGTATTTGTGTGTCTGTGCACATAAGTGCAAGTGCCCTCAGAGGCCAGAGGCACGAGATTCCTCTGGAACTAGAGTCTCAGGCAGTTTTGAGCCTCCTAAACTGGGAGCTGAGAACTGAACTCAGGTCCTGCTGAAAATAAAATATCTTGTAAGCACTTGCTTATTATAGTAGAACATTTTAGTGTGCCCTGTACTTTATGCAAAGAAATCCACAAAAACTTGTATTTTAGGAACAAATTAAGTAGAAAGCTATCCTAGAATACTGGAGACATGCTTAATTCAATTTACTCAAATTTAACAAAGACTGTAAAAACCCCAAAAAAGAAAGCAAAGGGTAACTGGGATCATAGGGTAGATGACTGAAGCTCATCTTTAATGTCTATTCATCGGTGGCCAACATTTTAACATCCAATCATCCACCAATCAAGAACAGCTTGGGTACATCCTTTGGAAAAAGCATGGATACACTGCAACCGGCAGCCGAATCTCCCACAGGAGATGTGCTCTAGGGCCAGACCTGAACAGAACACAAATGCCTTTCTCTGCAGAGGCACTGGTTCCCAGAGGCCTGGGGACCATTAATGGTCTGAATAGAAAACTAATTAGCTTCACAGTGAGAACAAGAATTCCACCCACACAAATTAGGAATCTGTAAGAGCAACCTTACTTTCAGTGGGCCCCAGGGAAAGACATTATTTCCAGGTGATCCTTGGATCTCACAAGAGGCCAGAATAATCAAATATTACACGGCCAGTGTTACAACAGGGCTCTGCTGAGAAGAGAGCCAGGCCCAAGTCCCTGAAGGTACCACTGCCACTTAATTACCTCTGATCTAATTTGAAATCCCCAAATAAAAAACCCGGCTCTCGACCTCTGTCTTCCTCTTTTCTTCTTTACCACCAACCATAAAAGACTAACTACCCTGGGATGAGGAAGTAGCCCATCTGGCTGTGTGGCCTCTGCTCAGTCTGTCTGCTAGCCAGGGAACTTGGGGAGGAGTCAACACACCCGGATTGTAAAGTAGTTCACACCGTACATCTCCAGATCCTGAGCTATCTTCAAATACTCCATTTCAGCTTCATCCCTGTGAGGAGAATGGAAAACATCATCACTGAGGCTAAGTGACAAAGGTGGAGAACAGACACTTGCCAAGCCAGGCATGCCTATGGACTTACGACACCTGCAGAAGATAAGAGGCAGGCCAGACACCAGCACCGCTTCTCCCAACCCAGAGTCTATTAAGCACAAGCAGAATTTCCCATCCCCATAAAAAAAAGAAAACAGACTCATTACACTGACTCTTGGCTTCAATTTCACACTCTGCCCTTGGTAAATAGTGACATCTGTCTCGAGTGATTAAAAAAAGAGTGTGGGGGCTGGGAATATAGCCCAGTAGTACAGCACTCACTTAGCACACACAAAGCTCTCGATTCCGTTCCCAGCAATGGCAAAAAGAAAAAACAAAACCACAGTGTGTTCTTTGCAGCCTCAAGTGAATTACTGAAGTCATTGCCTTATCTCTGTGCACTTTCTTAACCTAGAGGCTTTAGTAATGAACAAGCTTTTCTACAAGCTAGCTGACAGTACCTACTTTCCTGGTTTTATCTCTCAAAGTACTGTTGTCAAGGTTAAGGCAAGAACTATCTGAGCCATAAACCTGGCCAGTGGATGAATACTTCTGTGTTATAAGTCAAACTTAAAGCAGGCTGTGGAAGTAGCAGTGACTTGCAGAAAACTCTCCAATAGGTACCAGCATTAAAGTAATTTAACTCAAGCTTCCCTATGACCTTGTCCTTGTCCTCCTCTCTCTCATCTCAAAACACTCTCAGATGGATTTTCAAAATTCACCCTGAGAGAATGCCAAGTGTTGGCAAGCAGGTAGAAGAAGCAGAAATCACACACACTGCTGATGCAAATTGATTCAATTACTTTGGAAAAACTGTTCAACATTACCTGTAAGAGCAAAAACCAAGAAACAACTTAAGAGTCCTTCAACAGTAGAATAATAATCTGCTATACTAATATATTGGAATTCTGCACAGCCATGAAAATGAGAAAATTATTGTTACATGTCATGAACTCGAATCTCACAAGATAATCTTGAGTAAAAGGCAGCACTAAAAACAGAAATTGGTTGTATTTATCTAAAGTTTAAAATAGCTACACCTAGCAGTGTAGGTCAGTGAAAGATCAGTTACTTGGTTAGCATGTGAGAGACCTTGTATTTGATCCTCAGCAATACAAAATAGTAATATAACAATGGTAAGTTAAAAAAAAAATAATGGACAATACTAATCTATGGGAACACTAATTGGAAACTGGCAAACAGGTTGGGCGTGGTGACACAAGCCTTTGATCTCAGCACTGAGCAGAGACAAGTGGACTTCTGTGAGTGTAGACCAACCTGGGAAATACATCATCAGCTCCAGTACCTACCGCAAGAGCTACACAGTGAGACTCTGACTCAAAAAACAAAAAGAAAGAAATTGGGAAACTAGTTATCTTTGGAAAGAAAGTAAACTGAGAAGTCACAAGCTATTTCTTCCTTATCATTTTGTGATAAATGATTAAGCAATATACTTCTGATCTCTCCATTTTGTGGGCATAAACAACAACAAAGATAAGGAGCTAGAGAAATGGCTCAGTGGCTAAGATGTGCTCTTCCAGAGGTCTTGTGTTTAATTCCTAGCACCCACATAGTGCCCAACAATCATCTGTAATTCCAGTTCTAGTGCCCTCTTCTAGTCTCGGCACCAAGCACATACATGGTACACAGACATACATGTAGGAAAACATCCATATGCACAAAATAAGCTTTAAGAAAATATATAAGTAGGAAGTTGATTTGAAGGACTGGGGTGGGGCCTAATGAAAACATGATCAATATCTAAAGCTACCAAGGGAATAGTTACAAGTTATACATTTTCATGTTTTAATTTTCTTTTTCTTTTTTCTTTTCTTTTTTTTTTTTTTTTTTTTTTGAGGTAGGGTTAAAAACAAATGTTGAAAAAAACCTAGGGTAGTGGGAACATTCTACTAGTACTGCTGATGGACAGGTGCCAAATTTAGTGTCACCTGTCAAAACACGGAATGTTCATGTCCCTTGACCAACTCTCTTCTAAGAATCTACCCTCTAGACCTGTGTAACTGTGAAACAACGTGAGATCATGCACTGCAGGAGCTTTCTGTGAATGTGAAAAGCATATCCAGGCTCAGTGGCATCTGTAATCCCAGCACTCAGAGAGGCAGAGGCAGAGGCAGGCAGAGCTCTGTGAGTTCAAGGCCAGCCTGGTCTACAAACTGAGTCCAGGACAGCCAAGGCTACACAGATAAACCTTGTCTCAAAAAACAAAAGCAAAAACAAATAAAAGAGTGCAAAAACAAAGGGCCACTGAATGCACCAGGTTTATACAGCCTGATAGGCAGAACACATGACCACTTTAAAAAAATTATTTAATTTTATTTGCATTACTGTGAAAGTGTCAGAACCCATGGAACTGGCATTACAGACAGTCGTGAGCTGCCATGTGGGTGCTGGTTGTTGAACCTGGGCCCTTTGGAAGAGCAGACAGTGCTCTTAACTACTGAGCCATCCCTCTAGCCCCCACATGACCACTTTTTAAGTCCATTTTAATTAATTTATGAATTTGAGTTTCAACCCAGGGTCATACACATTTCAGGCAAGTGCTCTACCACTGAGCTACACGCCCAGATTGTCACGTGCTCATTTTCAACAACACACTACAATAAGGATGCACATGAAACTGAAGAGCAACATTATTCCAAGCTCTTGCTTTTCCTTTTATATACATACTTCAGGACTGCAGTTTGTCCAACAAGCATTCTAGTTTTATAATTCTTTAAGGGGAGAAGACAAGAGGAAAAGTAAACCAAGGATGAAGCAGCCTCACCTGGCTCTGCCCCGGTGCTCCGCGTACCAAGCAGTAATTCTTTCCTCCCACATTTCTGGAGTCATCTGATATAGATTTATCACCTACCAAAAAGAGCAAAAGAAAAACCCACATGGAAAGCAAGTCTGAGTATTGTTTGCCATTTCTGTAATTATGGTTCGTTTTTACAAAACAGTAAAGCTATTTTAAAAAGCTGCATGCAGGGAGAGTCACACATAGAGGTGGGCGTGTAAACAAGCAGCATTCCACTAAAGGATCAACCTGCAAGCTGCAGGACTCCCCAAGCCTAACTACACCTTGGGGCTGGGAGTACCCCCTTTTGCTGCTGGGGTTCCTCTCGGGGACCGCCTGGCAGTGCAGCAGTGCTTACTCCCTCTGACTTCAACTGCATCAAAGCCATCAAAGGTCAGGTAAAGGCAGGAAAGGGCTGGGGAAAAGCCTTATTACCCAGTGACGGGTGATAAGCGGGGCTGTAAGAAAGGAGGCAGCCAAAGGCTGTTTCTGTGTCTAATGAATACAACGAACAAGACAAGGATTAAAAGGCTCTCCCCAACATTATCTTCTCCACCCCACACAGCTCAATTCTGCACAATGAACACACAATCTCATAGCTCCCTTAAATCAATGCCACTCAACCACCTTTAGAAATTGCCACACTCTGACTGGCAATTCAACATTAACTCCACAAACTCTTGCTATTGTGTTGTTTTGAGACCAAATGTTACTTAGTAGCCCAGGCTGGCCTTAACCTCATGATCCTTTTGCCTCTGCTCCTTAATGTGAGGACACTATGTGCAGCTGCACCTTTGATTTTATATGCCTGACCAAGAAAGCTAAGTGCAGTGATATACACCTGTAATTCCAGTGCTCAGGAGACTGAGGCAAGAGGGTAGTGAGTTCAAGCCAGTCTAGACTATAGAGCCTGTCTCAAAAAATAATAGGAGGGGCTAGAGAGAAAGCTCAGCAGGTAAAAGTGCTTTCTCTGAAAACATGAGGAATTGAGTCTGAATACCACTGACAGGCATGAAGAAGCTATGAGGAACTGACAGCTCTTGGGAAAGGAAAAAAAACAATTTTTTTTCCAAATAGAATGACCACTGGGTATACCAACCACACCCCAGGCAGCACACTCAGGAGTACGTGCTCAGTAAAAATTGGAATCTATTTTTTTGTAGTTGTTGTTTAAGAGAGAAAGAACATGAAGTTTAGTGGGTAAGGAGATAGGAGAGGATCTGGGAGGAGTTGGGGGAGGAATTTGATCAAAATATACTATATAAAATTCTCAATAAATAAAAACATAAAAAAAGGCCAGGCATAACTGTACATACATGTCTGTAACCACAGCACTGAGGGGTAGAGACAGGCAGATCCTGAATGCTCACTGGCTAGCCAGCCTCGCCTAAATGAAAGCATCCAATCAAGAGGCCCTGTCTTAAGACAATAAGAGAGAACAATAGAGGAAGACACTGCAAGTCCAGCTCTGATCTCTGCACATGTGAAAGGGTACATACATCTGCATACTCACATGCATACACAACACACACACACTAATAAATATGCTTAGCTAAGATTCCATACTCTTTTTCAAGATTATGAACTGTTTGTGCAAATGTGCTTGCTGTTTGCTTCCGTCACTCTTCAAATCATTCAGTGGCTTTCCTTCAGCCACATCCACTGTTTTCCCAAAGAGAGAATTTGATTTCTTACCCTTTTTGGAAGCAATTCCTCTTGGGCTAAAAATCCCCGCTTATGCACAGAGGGGTCATAGTCGCCATACTGGAAAGGAAAAGAAAGACAGCTGGTGACTGAGGACGTAAGCACTACTGTCATTTCTGAACAAGGCTCAACTCAGCTGGTCCCTCCTCCCAATTCCAGGGAGCAATTCAATTCTGATGACAAGATTTCAACCTTGCCAGTTTGTTATCCTTGAATGAAAATACAAAGCTGATTACATCTATGAGCAGAGTTGCAAAATCCCATAAGGGATGGATGGGTGATGTGCTAATAAGAATGTGACATCTGTATGGAAATGTAGTCTGTTTCCTAACCCTCAAAGAAAGCAGTCGCTTCCAAACATTAGCTTTGTAATGGAAACAACAAAACACAACTGTGAAAGTTGTGATTAGTGAGGTGTGATAAGAGCCTTACCTACAAATGCCTCTAAGCAGCTGGTAATTGGAGCCAACTGCTAGGTGGAACCAGGGATAATGCAGGGAATATTTTTAATACCTTTTGCTCAAGGTTCTGAAAGTTGCTTTGGGAAGATCTGATATCAACACTGACATTCCTACTGCACAAAGAAACAAATAAAATAAAACGTTAACTGATACAGCCAAAGTTGTAGAGCAGATTACCAATGGGGCCTACAATCTAAGTTACTCTTCCAGGAGCAACAACTCAGATATCTGTTCTCTGATTTCTAAAAACAATATTCTTTCCTAGAAAACTTAGCTTAGATCAGAGAATCACCCACAATCAAAGAGTAGGGCTGGTATGTGACTCGGTGGGCCAGGACTTGCCTTAGCATGCATATAGCCCTAGGCTCAACCCCCAGCCCCTGGTATAAAAAGAGACTGTGGACTAGGAATAGTGGTGCATGCCTTTAGCCCCAATCTTTGGAAAACAAGTACAGAAGCAGCTAGGAGTTAGCAGTCAACCTGAGCTATACAGTGAGATAAAATAAAGCCTTAAAGTAAAATAAACAAACGAGAGAGACAGAAAACAGTAGAACATGAGCACACATCCTGGCTCTTACCACTCAGCCGTTTAATGGTTTCTCTCTCTCACATTTCCTTAGCTATGTATGTGCATCGCCACAGTGCTTAGGGGTCAGATCTTTCCTTCCCCCAGGGATCAGCTTCAACTGTAGGGCCTGGCAAGTGCCTTGACCCACAGAGCCGCCTCAGGAGCCCAGTGCTTTAGCTCTCTTTTCTTTTCACTCTCTTTTTTAAATTAAAAAATGTTTTTAGATTTATTTTTATTATTTTATGTGTATGAGTGTTTTGCCTGCATGTACATCTGTGCACCACATGCTGGGACTAGAACTTAGGTCCTTTGCAAGAACAGCAAGTGCTCTTACCTACCAAGTCAACTCTCCAGATCTCTCCTCCTCTTTTCTTTAATTAAAGATTTAAGCTGGGCACAGTGGTAGACACCTACAATCCCAGCACTCAGGGAGGCAGAGGCAGGCAGATCTTTGTGAGTTTGAGACCAGCCTGGTCTACAAAGTGAGTTCAGGATAGCCAAGACTACCCAGATAAAAAATCTTGTCTTGAAAAAAACAAACAAAAAAATTATGATTATTATTATTTCATTTTATGTGCATATTTCATCTGCATGCGTGTTGATGTCCCATGTGTGACTGGTGTCGTTGGAGGCCAGAAGACATCAGATCTCCTGGAACTGGAGCTATAGATTTGTGAGCCACCATGTGGGTGCTAGCAGCCTACAGTTCCAGGGAAGTCAGCTCCCTATTCTGGCCTCTATGGGCAACAGGCATGCATATAATGCACACAAAAATACCAAGGCAAAACACTGATACACATAAAATAACAATAATTTTTCAAAAATTTAAAAGAGCCAGGCAGTGGTGGCACACACTTTTAATCCCCGCACTTGGGAGGCAGAGTCAGATGAATCTCTGAGTTGGAGGTCAACCTGGTCTACAGTGAGTTCCAGGACAGCCAGGGCTACACAGAGAAACCCTGTCTAGAAGAAGAAAAAAAAAAGAAAAAGAAAAAAGATGAAATCTTTCCAAGTTCTTCCTTAAGTGAGAGCACTGGCCCTGGAGGACCTCGCTGTAGCAAGGAGCAAACAATAAAGGGATCCAGGTGAGCATCTGGGCAGTGCTGGGCCCTGTGAAAGTCAGGCATGAGTGCTGTGTCTCAGGGCTTCACAGGCTATGACTAAAGCCATGCTTTGCATTTGCAAGCCTTTCAACACTCACCAACCAAATTTTAATGCAAAAGTAAGCAGATATGCAAAGTTAAAGTTGTAAATTCAGGTCTCAAAGGCTTGCAAGATTAACGACCCCCATTATTAAATTACACCAGGCTCCCAGCTACTACCCTGATCAAATATATCACATCTGAGCAATGTGGAGGCAGTGGAGACTCTTCCCAAAGAGCTTCTCGCTGGACTGGCTCCACTCAAAACATTAAAGCTACCTTGATCTCTACTTAAATGTCTATTTAAAAAAACAAAGGGGAAAAATGCTGGTGTTGTGGCAGTAAATAAATAAAAAAGGCTATACCACTCTATAGATGGAAATGACTATTCCTCATCTTTTTATGTAACAGAAGCATTCTGATGAGCTCAAGGTGAATTTACTGTGAAAGTAAGAAAGCTGGAGTTTCAAAGCTCTGCAGCTATGTGGGCCTGTGCTTAATGTTATATTCATCATTTCGTATTCATGCATTAAAGAAAACCCCCTAAGTTGCCTACATTTCGGAGGCAACAAACCTGGTCTTTTACTGCCCCTTATAACCACCTGAATTTAAATTCTAGAAAGGGAAGGATGGGGATGTAGATCAGGGATGGGGCTTAGCATGAAAGAGATCCATGGTCAGTTTTTAGAACTAAAACAAACTAAGCAAATATCATTATCATTTTGAGAAACCGACAATTAAGGTAAAATTCTTGGGGCTGGTGGGGTAGGCTGCAGACACTTGTTGCCTTTGTAGAGGTCCTGGGTCCCAGCACCCACATGGCAGATCACAACTGTCGGTAACTCCAGTTCCAGGGTATCTGACGCGGTCTTTGGCTTCCTTGGGCACTGCATGCACACAGTGCACAGATACTGTATGCAAAGCACCCATACACATAAAATTAAAAAATAATTTTAAAAAATTCTGGGCTAGTGATTAAGCTCAGTGGTTAAAGGTATTTGCTGTGGAACCTGATAATCAGATTTCTGTAACAAGAACCCATGATGGAAGGAGAAAACTAATGCATAAAAGTTGTCCTCAGATCTGTACATCCATGCCTTGGTAAAGAAGTTGTAGAATTCCCACCCCCACCAAACAAAATAAACAAATGTAATTTTTAAATATTAAAAACATACAAACAAATGCTGGGTACCTGGGAGGCAGAGACAGGCAGATCTCTGAGTTTGAGGCCAGCCTGGTCTAAACAGTGAGTTCCGGGACAGCGAGAGCTACACAGAGAAAGCCTGTCTCAAACAAAACAACAAAATAAAACAAAAACTAGCCTGTTGTCAAGTCTGATGGCCTGAACTTAACCCCCAGGACCCACACAGTGAAAGGGGAGAACTGACTCCCACAAGCAGCCCTCTGACCTCCACATGCATGTCATGCTACGAGAAGCACACACATTTGAATAAATACATATGCAATTACATTTTTTTAAAGATCCAACTCATTCTTGAGGCAAACAATCTTTTAAACTTGCTGTTTGCTGTTTGGGGGCTGGGAGTAAGGCTCAGTGGTAGAGTTTATTGACCCCAGTCTGACCTCCAGTTCTGTGAAATCAAAAGCTCACCTTTAAGTCTTTCTCTTTTCCTATTTGCAGGAGGTTATCTGAGGGATATCTCCCAGGCTGTCCAGGCTAGCCTCAAATTCCTGGGCTCGAGCAATTCTTCTGCCTCGGACTCCCAAGAAGCTAGGCCTAGCCACTTGAAATGCCTAAGTTAAAAGGAGCCTCTTTCTGGATATGAACAATTTCCTCTCTGCATATGCAATGAAAAATCAGACAAATGTTTTAATAAAACAAAGGTTTGCCTTTTTTCTACCTTTCTTTCTTCTTTCTTTCCACCATTGTAAAATTGATTCCTACTATATGTAGTTACTAAATTCCGTATGAGTCAAGGATTTAAACCTATAAACAAAAATCTATAAAAGTACCAGACGAGAGAGGATGGGCACACCAGTGGGTGGTGAAGCCATTCTCAAGCCTGACACATAACAGCAGACAAAAGGTTGCTACCATTATAGATGAGCTCCTATAAATCAATCAGAGAAGGACAAGAGCATAGAAGAAAAGGGGCAAGTCACACACAGCCACTGCAGACTGAAAAGAAAAGAGGAAACAACAACAAACAAATCCCTGAGATTCTTAGTCCCATGGCAATGGAATGCAATTTTTTAAAAAACCTCTTTTTTGAAACAGGTCAGCAAAACTTTAGAAGACTGATTGTATCCACTGTCGGGAGGGGTGTGCAGAAGCAGGCATTCTCACACACTGCTGCTGCAAGTTAGATCAGAACACACTTCTAGAGGGCATGTATGTAGTATTTGAGGGAAAATGTACAGGAGAATTACTGGGCTTTCTTGGAGACAGAACCCTACTGTGCACCTCTGGCTAACCTGGACTTCACTATGCAGACCAGGTGAACAGGACTTGAGCTTAGAGTTACCTACCTCACAGACATTCTTAAATTAGTCTGCCTCCCCAGTACTGGGAGTAAACCACCAGCACTGTGATTTGGAGACAGGATCTCATATGGTGCAAGCTGGCCTGGAACTCAAGCTTGCCGTATAACAGAGGATGGTTTGGAGCCCCTAACACTCCTGCCTCTGGAATTAACAAACTCTCCATTCCCATGCTGCTAGCCATAGAACCAGGGCTTAGTTCACGCTAGGCAAGAACTCTGCTAACTGAGTGGCATCTCCAATCTCTCCTATTTTTTTTTTTTTTTTTTTTTTTTTTTGTTTGTTTGTTTCCAAGACAGGGTTTTGCCCTGGCTGTCCTGGACTCACTCTGTAGACCAGGCTGGCCTCGAATTCACAGAGATCCCTGCCTCTGCTTCCTGAGTGCTGGGATTAAACGTGTGAGAAACCAAGCCCACCCCCTCATAGACATTCTTAAATTCGTCCCCTCCTATATCCATCCACTAACTGAGGTGCTGACCTCATATCTCTAACTCCAACAATCACTAGAAATTTTAAATAGATCTCCATCTCTATTTCTAGATTTGTCTCCCTCTGTAGCCTTGGCTGGCCTGAAATTTGCTATGTAGACCAGGCTGGCCTTAAATTCACAGAGATCCATCTAACCTCTACCTCCCAGATGCTGGGATTAAAGGTATGTGCCATCACACGGGGCACTGATCAATCTGTTCATTACATAGCCACCAAAGGTTCTGTGAAAACAGAAGGCCTTCACTGGGTCAGCTGCATGCACAGGCTAATGCTAAGACCTTTCATGATCTGCTCCCCTAAGAGCTTTCATCTTCAGCTCTTGCTTTCACATGTGCTCGGTTTCTTAACTGAATTGCATTTAGCCACTGTCCCTGGCACTTTTAGAGTGGTAAAAAAACACCAAGCTTCTCCCACTGTTTATTGTTTTGTAGTCCTGGCTGACCTGGAAACTGGGTAAGTAGCTCAGTTTTGAGAATCTCAACCTCAAAACTCTGAGATCCTCCTGTATCTGTTCCCAAGTGCTGGGGTTTAATTCACAACGCCTGGACAGATTCATTTATTTTTATTTATGTGTATGTGTGTGAGCCTTTCTGAGTGAGTACATGTGTACCACGTGTGTGCAGCAGCCCTCAGAGGCCAGAAAAGGGCACTGGATCCTCCGGAATTGGGGTTATAAGCAGTTGTGAACTTCTATGTAGATGTTCTGATTCAAGAACAGTAAGCACTCTTAACTGCTGAGCCATCTCTCCAACTCTATCTTCCACTATTCTTTCTTTCTTCTGAGTATTAGCAGTCTACAGGCAGCAGTAAGATTCATTAGTAATATCCTATTCTCCCGTAGTAATTTTCAGTACAAACATATTTCAGAGAGAAAGAAAACCACATTTGAAACACCAAATTGTCCATACAAGATCCCACAGGTGGCTTAAAAATTGCAAAATGATTTTACTTGTCAAGTCCATTCTTTTGATTCTACCATAAACCAAAATTGAACCAAGAAATAAGGTTTTTGCTAACTAAACCATGTGATTAATACTCATTTGTATTTATACTTTGAAGTTAACGGTTTCTTTATGTGTTGAAATTAAGTGCATCTCTATGGTTCCGACAGCTGAAATACTGTAATGAATACATTTGCACATAATTATGTTCCATGTGTTAATGAGCTCCATTCCATTTCCCCCTCATACTTCTAGAGTTTCTTTCTGTTTCATAAAGGTTGGGAAGAAAACCAACTGCACATAATGAAAGGAGACAGTATGGCTTACTGAAAAGGTTTAGATAAAACTTGTATTATCATGTAAACAAAACTAGAACTTAGTGAAAATTAACTTAGTGAAAGTTAACGCCTGACCCCCACATACCTCACTAGACTGTGAGGGGCTGGAACAAAGTGCTGGGTCAGGCAGCCCAGACACCTGGGTTCCAGCCTGGCTCTACCCTCCATCCCACTCTGCCTCCATCTTCAGGAAGAGGCAGGTGACTGTATGCTAGAACACTTGCCTCATATGTGTAAGGCTTTGGGCTCAGTCCCCTGTGCCATGAAAACAAAACAAACAAACAAACAAAAAGTGGTCTGTACATTCCATAAGTATAGAAATAACATAAAATAATTATGATTTGAGCAAATAATTCATCTTTTCTAACCTTTAATTTTGTCACCAGAACAAGCACAAGCTTCCAGAAAATACTATATGGACTGTCTTGTGAAACAGTCTGTTGGACACTTTGTTAAACAGGGATGTAGCTTATCCTAAATATCCTCCTACTATTAACCAGTAGTCTGAGAAACTGTTAACATTGTTATATAAAGTCCTGGTTTCTAGAAAGCAAGCAGGGTCTCACTTTACAGCCCTTGCTGGCCTGGAACTCATAGGGATTGACTGCCCTGCCTAGCATTAAAGGTGTGCACTACTATGCCCAGCCAGAATACAGACTTCAAAAGCTAGAGATTACCTTTATTTGTAAGATTCCTTAATCTAACACCGGAAAACATAGTTAGAGCACCCGCCTCCATATGAACCACATATGTTGTCTGTGAATCACTTTCATCTCCAAATTGGCTGAAGCCAAATAAGTAGGGCTTTCCTACAGTGAAGTCTGTTCAAGCAAGCATCTGCTGGGTCCTTGAAAAATGATCCACATCCCTCTGCCCCCACAAAGGTGGCCTTTGAATTTGTGACCCCAAACCTATAGTCATTGAGAATGAGGTAGTATCCTTGAGAGCTTGCATCTCAGACAGGAGAAAGTATGCAAAAAAGGCACTCAACTCTGGGCCAAGTATGTGGATTTAATGAAAGTGGTGACGACTGCTTTGTCACTGTCAGGACTGAAAGGATACGTCTTTCCTGTTACTAATATTCTTCATCAAGGCAAAAAAGGAGCATATGCTTTACTTGAATCACAGCCCATCTTCTGTTTTCTCAATTACTCCTTTTTCAAGGAAGGCATAAAATACAATTCTAAAGCTAGAGATTCTGCCTCTAGCTTTACCCGTGAAGGTACCAATGACCTTGGAGAATCACTGAGGGCAGAACTTGCTCTAGTGCCTGCATCTGACAGTTAACAAGCCCCATGTCCCATCCTTGTGACTGCTCAGCAGACACTAATGAGTCATCAAATGATTAAACTGACTCTGTGCTTCTACCGGCCTGACCAGCATACACATTTCAAAACCCTTTTCCCAACCCAAATGACAAACAAGTCATTTCTGGCTGTGATCTGAAGTTGTATTAAAAATGCGATTGCGGTGGGAAATCCAAGGGTCATGAAACACTCTGGACTGACATTCTAGCTGGCCTTATAAGATGGGACAAAACTCTAATACTCAATGATGCTCCTCTCCCACCACTCCAGGATTGCTGTCTAAGTGAAAGTGAATGACTTCAGGCTAATGAGACAGCATCACTGGGCCCAGCAGGCTCAGCAGACCCACCTCCTACAGTACCTAAGCACATGCACAAAACATGCCCACCAGGGCCTCCAGCAGCGTGGGCTCTACAATGTAGTCTCTGGAAAGAAGAGTTTGGATGGAGGATCTGGGTCTTGCTGAGCTAGAGGCCCCATTTGATCATAATTAGAGACCATAAATTCACTTTTCCTGACTAATAAAACGAAGCTGATGTGACGGATTTAATGAACCACATGTGCATAATGAGATTACACAGAAAATTCATCTTTTTGAATGAATTCACTTAGAATGAATTTAAGTCATTAGAACAATGTGCTTGTCATTCACCTAATACATAACACACATACACTCACATATACAAAATACACAGAAGTTGAGGCAGCAACAACAGATGCCCAAGAATCATGACATCTCATTTTCAGGGGCACGTTGTTCTCAAGTCCCCAAAATCCAAATAAGTGAAGACCGTATTTCATCTGATAAGTTAATGTTGATGAAGAAGGCATTTTTCTTTCTTTGCACCCACCTTAGCCTGGACAGCATAGGAAGCCAAGAGTACTGAAGCCTCAGGAGGGCAGTAGATCTTTTCATCCAAAATCTGCTTCTTCACCTGAAAGGGGCAATAAGTGAGAGATGAAATGGCTCGTGTGGAAGACAGCAGTGCCACCTGGTCACAGCAGATGGCTGCAGGGTATTCTAAATGAGGGCTGTTTTAGTAGCCTCTTAATGATTTTCTGACACAGGGGATTTTTTTTAAAATTGTTGTAGACCAGTTGAGGGTTCAGCCACAGAGAAGTTATCAGTAAGATGGCTGCACAAGAGTAAGTAAGATGTGCTGACTACAGTAGAGACTGACATGGCAGCTAGGAGAGGTTGAGGGTCGCTGTGCTGTCTGTCTTGGGCTCCATGGAGCACTCACAGCACTGCAGGAGCCAGGCCCTACTTTCAGATCTTCATACAAGACAAAAGCCACCAAGACCACTGAATTATGACTGTAGAAAAAAGTCATCACTTCCAATGTGCTGCTCTAAGGAAAAAAGGAAGCAATAAAATTTGATCGATTCAACTTTTAAGTACACATGAGGCTCAGGAAATATAATTCCTAAGCCATAATGTTGAATTAACATATCTCATTGCACCTAATTTCTTACAGTGGTGCAGTGTGTGATGTTCCAGATACAAGGACAAGACAGCCGCATACAGTGGGGGCCACTAAGCAAGGCCAGCTCCTTTTCACAGATTCACAGTAGTAAATGTTGCCTTGTGTAGTCACAAAAACAACGGAGCCAGAGTCACAGGAGAGATAGGTGCTGCCTCAAGGCCTCACAGGAAAGCCATTCTATAACACTAGGGTAGTATGGGCTCATGTAGCTTAAGCTTGTCTTGAACTCTCTCTGTAACTGAACATGACCCTGAATTTCGGATCTTCCTATGGATTACAAAAGCACACTATGCGTTGTTTATACAGAGCTGGGGTTGGAACTCAGGGCTTCATGAATACAAGGCAAGCATGCTATCAACAGAGCAACAGTCCCAACCCCCAACAATCCTCATGTGGCTTCTCTCATGCATAAAATTTTTCCAGGCTTTAAAACCAAGTGAAAATGAAAGCTGAGCTGTTCTGAAGCAGTGACACCTTCCAATCTCCTGGTTTCTTTACAAAGAGATAAAAAAGAAGCCATAATACAAAAACAATCTGAAACCTTTTTACTTAAAACATACACACACAGAGAACTCTTCATAAAAGAAACTATTTGGCCAGTCATGGGGGCACACATACTATAATCCCAGTATTTGAGAAGCTGAGGCAAAAGCATCTCAAGCTCAAGGCCAGCCTTGGCTATAGAAAGAGATCCTCTTCTCAAACAACACAACACTATATAGAGGATAACACATATCATTAACACAATACACAGAGATTCCATGTTACAAGGATTGTATGAAAAACTGCAGATACTCTTCTGGCAAATCAATGTAATTAATGGCCCGTTACAATCTTTTAAATCATGGATAGTGGGCATCTTAAGGCACATAAGCAGCTTCGGCATGTCACTACATACAGCTAGCCATGAAACTGCCTATGACACAGCAAGGTTTCCATCCTTAAATAAACCACCTCCCTGTGCTCCGAGATGGTCGACCTGTAATTCTGGAACACCTTAATGTGCCATTCAGAAGTCCTGTCTGTTCTATCTGCCTTGATAGACGGCAGATCTTGAAAAGGGAACTTTTTGCTAAGCTTCTGAGGCTTTTCTTTATAACCTCAAAGAACATTTAAGTTAGCTGGAAGAAACGGGGATCCATCTTCATGGAGGTATCCTATTGCTTAACTGTCTATTCTTCATCATCACACCTCTGCAATTTCATCTGACAGCAATTCTCATCACTGGGGTAAAGCTCTATTTTTAAGATTGTCTTTCCATTATTGAACCGAAAGACTGACTACTTGGAAGCAGAATATTTTCTGCATGTAGAAGTATTTGTGGTCAACTTCAAGGGATTCATTCACCTAGGCTGCTTCTGAAACCATACCCAAGCTGGTCTTCTTAGAACTGGGGAGACAGTATGGGCTGTTGTACCTGTAAGAAAAATAAGTGTTGCGTGATCTCTTGAACTAGCTCCTCCTCAGCATTCTCAGGATAAAATTTGGCCAGGAAATGAAAGGTAACTGGTTCTTCCTTCGAAACATCATGATCCAACACCTGCAGAATTGCAGAGCAAAAGACATGCTGTGCTGGCCCCTCGTCTTCATGCGCTACCATCAAAGCATGCTTCGCAGGGAAGCTATAAATCCCTTCCCCTGTTACATCCCTCACATTTCCCAAAGGCTGTGTTTCTACAGTTGGAAGCATTCATAGAGCCATCCATAACAGGATACAATATCCACTTCACACAGGGGGTTCTGAACCAAATCAATCAATAAACCCAAGGGAAGAGCAGAGCTACAATGTCAGCACAAGTGTTCTCAAAGAAACAGAAAATAGTTACAAACTAGAATGTATATCTCAAAGATCTTGGGCATTATCCTTAAAGAAAGACTGAAGATTAAAAATTTTTTTTTCCAAAATAGTATCATCTACCTTTATTTTTTCTTAATGCCCACTCTAATAGGTCCTACTGGAACACAGCTTAAACACAATAAACTAGATTTTTGTGACAGCATTTATATGTTATGAATATTAGAAGTGAAACATATGCATCATGGCAATGCTTTGTTCCTGGAATCTTGCAGAGATGTCCACAAAATGCTTGCAGTGCAATAAGTAAAGCACTGCTTTTAATCTTCTAACAATCCCACCCACCCCCTGAAAAGCTTGGGCCATCTGCTCTCCAGAGTGAATTTCATTTCAGGACATAAACATGCTACCAGGCTCCATTAACATGTGTCATAATTTATTTCCTTTGAGCAGTAGGTTCTATGACTCCTGATGCCCTCAATCTAATATCCATTTGGCTAACACTCAGGTATGATTTAAAATTCACTTTGCTGAGAATCATAAAAAGATACAGAAAGCTTTGCTGTCTCTGATATATAACTCTCCACATGCCTGCCCAAATTCCAGTGGCAGTCCCCAAAGGACTCAAAATAAACCTAATCCAGGTTGCCCTCTTATTCACTGGCTCTTTGCGGCATCTGGAGTTTCTAATCACTGGAATGACCATTTGAAACTGACAACTAACAGGAGTTCTAAGCATGAAGGTGGTCATCATGTACATGTTGTGAACAAATTTGAACACCTCACTTACCACTAGTAAGACAAGAGACTTTTTCTGGTTATCATATTACACAGTAGATGACTTCAGGGGCAACATTTAGGGTCAGAATTAGACACGGAGTTACTCTGGGAAGAATCCAGGGGTCTTTTGGCCCTGTTCTCCAGCTGTCTTCCCTGTCAGGTAAATAGACAGGCATGTCTCTGTGTGACTACAGAAACCCATCATTGGGCAGCTTCCTTAAGCCACATCCATTTCAAGCCACCTTCAAACTGCTAGAAACCTAGTTTTCCTGTGCTTAAGAAGTCCCCAGAGAACCCTGAGGAGGAAATGGGCATTACTCCTTCACCTCACTTCTTTTTTTCTTATTAATGATTAAGTTAGTTGGTGTTCTCAAAGACTTTAAAAAAAAAAATCCCTAAAGAACATGGGCCCTAAGGAGAATCTCTCAAAGACATAAAAAAATAAAAAATAAAAAATAAAAAAAATTTTTTTGAAGAATACAAAGGTAGAAGTAATATTATCCATAAGACCTGACTAGTGGTGTAATGCCCAAAATCATGGAAACAGGGTAGTGACAATGGACACAAAGTCTGGTCAAGGTTGAGTCCTGGTGAGTCCTGCAGATCTAGGAGAGTCCATGGAGAGTAGAAATGCCTGTAGGACCTGTTTTCTACATACATGACTTAATTTTTAAAACTGGCCCATCAGGTGGTAGTGATACACACCTTTAACCCCAGCAGAGGCAGGTGGATCTCTGTGAGTTTGAGGCCAGCTTGGTCTACAGAATGAGTTCCAGGACAGCCAGGGCTGCACAGAGAAACCCTGTCTTGAGAAAACAAACAAACAAAAAAATCCTGCTCCCTTCTGTACCATGTCCTTGTCACACCCCAAAATGAGCAAATAAGCTAAGTGCATGGTCAGGAAAAACAAAACAAAACAAAACAAAAACAGAAAGCACAAGCCTCCCCTGCTGGTTTCATGGAGATCTAGCCCAACCTTCTTGTCCATTTTGAGCCAAGCCACGGTGTCCTTGATTGTGTACTGCAGTCCAAAGAACCAGGTTTCCCGAAGCCCCAGCGTCCGGCACACCAAATCAAACAGGTCCTTCCCTTTCCATTTCATCTGTAATATAACAAACCAACAGGGAAGGATGCTGTGAGCAAAAATCATAATCGGCTCACATACAAAACTGTTCTCAGCACTCTCTACTGTCACCAAAATGGCTGATGAGCACTGAACTCCCACAAAAAACCATGAGTGGGAAAATACCAATTAGAGCTTAATGGCTTAATCGCCGCGGAACACACACACAATACCTCCTTGGACAGTTCTGTAGAGATCTCAATATCCCCGAAGGTGCTAATTTAGGAAACCTGGTAAATAAGCAGCCTCATTTAGGAGAGTCAAGCTCCTGAATTAGCCCAGGAAGATGGCTAGTTTGTGAGACACTAACTCCCTTGAGATTTTTTTCTTTAAATTGTGACTATCTTTTGATAAAAGGTAAGTTTTTTTTTTTTTAACTTAAAGACTAGTTTTACTCGGAAAAAATAAAATCAAATCTATAGAAGCTGTAATAAAAGTTAGAAATTGTGTAACAGAGAATGGGAGACCAGATAGGCCAATTGCAGGTCTCTCTCAGGATGACTGGTTGGGCCCATGGTCACAAAGAGCAATTCTAAATGTTCAGTGTCCAAACTCAGGTGATGAAAAGACACCAATATACTATGGTACCTTTATTCCACAGTCCCACTTTCAAAGGGACTTCAAGGATCACTGCTAACCCTTTCTGCTACTCAGCAGTGTAGCTGGAAAAAGCAAGCTCCAACATCTTCACAGGGAACGAGGGTGCAGGGCAGCTGAGGAAATGATGCCACCTAGTGGCTATGTGTCAAGCAGGTTTTTCCTGTATGACCTCTCACCTGCTGCCTGCTGGAGACCCACTCCAGCTACTCATGCATCACACCAACATTCATCAAGACTTAGGTACACTTATGAACATATGAAAACACATGCATGACCAGTCTCGAGGTTGGAATGTAAGGGAGCGATGAGACCACCTGATTGCAGAAGCACATGTGCCTTTCCCACCCCCAGTAGATCACCTCTACCCATCAGAAACAGCTCCATCAGCCAAGTGCTTGTCACACAAGCACAACAACCCCAGTTGGATCCCAGCACTCATGTAAAAAGTTGTTTGTGGTGGCCCATGATTGTAATCCCGGCACTGGAGAGGTGTGGTGGGGTTGGGTAAGGGGTAGGACTCACTTGCCAACTAGCCTTACCTAATAAAGGAACCCCGGGTCCCAATGAGCATCTAGCTTAAAAAAATAAAAACAAAAGAACAAAAAACATGGGGCCTGGTGAAACTGCTGCCTGAATAAGGGCTCTTGCTGTCGAACCCGACAGCTCCAGTCTGAGTTCAATCCTTGGGACTATATGATAGAAGAGAACTGACTCTCCTGGCTGTCCTCTGACCTCCACTCACACCCACATGCACATACAAACAAGTAAAATTTAAAAACACAAACAAAGCGAACAGCTCCTGAGGAAAATGAGGATGACCTCAATGTTTGTCATGGAGTGTGTGCCACGGTGTATATGTGAAGTTCAATGGACAACTTGGTGGAGTTGCTGCTTTCCTTTGACCTTTCTATGGCTCTGGGGAATCAAACTCAGGTAGACAGGCTTGTACAGTAAGTGCCTTTGCCCACTAGCCATCTTGCCTATCCCTTTACCATTCCCCACCCCAAGTGTTAGGGATCAAACTCAGGGTCTTGCCCATCGTAGGCAAGTATCCTACCACTGAACCACACTCCCAGCTCCAGTCTATGTTTAACAGATGTGAAGGAACAGTCCTCTGCAGGTCCTCAGCAGGAGAGGCCATCTCGTTCTGTTTACAGCCAGAGTCAGCAACCCAAAGAAGACCTCAGCATGTAGGTGGCATGTTGGCTTTGGTCCTCTGCCAAGCGTTTCTCCTATCTGTCCTGTATCCTTGGCCCCACCCCCGCTCTGACCATAGTGAGGTCTCTGTAATAATTCAATGATGGAAATCTTTAGAGATATTTCAATAGAAAAATTAAATGGGTTTTATCCTAAAAACACAACTTCTTTCCACCTTTTATAAGGCTAGATAATAGGCACACATTTGTTAACTGGACAGAGAGTTTTTTAATCCTTGGAAGGAAGGTCTTAATTCCTACAGGCAGACTTAAGTGAAGAAATGTTATTTTTGAAAACTGGAAGCTTCAGGATGCTGATTACCCTCTTGTCTCTATTTTAAGCAGCACACAGTATATAAATTATAAATGCCTACCTTGCCACAAGATAATGTGCCACTAAAGAACAGGCATTTAAGTTAAACACCCGAGGACCAAGAGGATCAGGGTATCACTCCCAATCCACCAGAACTCTCAACCATGGCCAGACAGACCTTGGCACAAAGGGCTGTCAGAAGAGGATGAGCAGGGCACTGGAAGGAAAGAAAGCTTCCAAGGGGACAATGGGTGAGCCTCCACACTGGAGAGCTGAAAACCTCAATGCAATATTGTATTGACACAGTTTTCCTAGATCCCTCTCTACTTCTGTGTTTTTAAAAATGCAGACCTATTTTTATTAAGTGCAAAAAGACAACGTCTTTACCCCCATGGAGCCTGCAATAAAGAGAAGAGGAAACAATTCTCAGAACAATTCGGAATGCCCTACTTACATTTTTTTCCTACTTATATTTTAACATTGGTGCAAAAGATCACAGACTATTAGAGCTGGAAATGAGCCTCAGCACTCACCCACTGTGAACCCATGTTCTCTCTGTAAAACCCAAGTAAACTGAGTCACCAATTATTTGGCAGTCTGCCAAGATAAACACTGGCCCCTTTTTCATGGTAATCCAAGGTAGGCAAAGTCCTAGTTTCACAAACACCCTTTTCCAGCTCTGTGATCATCAGATCTTTTTGTCCCTACCTTGGCCAATGAGTGACCAATATTGAGACAGAACCCCTTTTCAGAAGAGTCAGATACAGCTCTGTGTGATCACAGCCAGTTTTCTAACAAGTGCTTTAGAGCATATAGAGTATCAGATACTGAGGCTATACAATGGCAGAAGCAGAATGTCTGTGGGAAAAAGACTCCAAGAATAAGTAAGGGTTCAGTGATGAAGGAAAGGAACTCTCTTAACAACAACAACAAAAACTAGATCTGTACAGGGAACCTTCAGTTATGTATCTGATAGGGCTGAAGCTGACAGCCAGCCTTAGGAGTGGGGGTGGTGGGAATGACACTTGATGCTGGAGCAGGTGGCTTTGAGGACTCATCTGCTTTTTGCATGTACTCTAACGGGTGAGGGATGAGCTGCAGGGAAGGAACAGCTGCAGTCTGGACAAGAGCACAGAACAGACTCCTCCTGCTATCAAAAGACAGTGGGAGAGAGTGTCCCAGAACCAGCACCACAACAGGCTAGAGGGAGAAAAATTCAAGAAGGACATCTACCTGCATTTCCAGCTTGAGCACCTGGTATCCCACTAAAAAAAAGAAGGAACACAGAAAAAAGCAGCAAGTTTGGGAAAAAACAGATGAGCAATTAAGTTTTAGACAAGATTAGTTAAGCTGCCTAAAGAAAACAGGTGGACTGGTAGTATGTGCCTTTAATTCCAGCACTCAGGAGGCAGAGGCAGGCAGATTTCTATGAGTTCAAAACCAGCCTGGTCTAGACAATAAATTCCAGGTCAACCAAGTCTACCCTGTCTCAAAAAAAAAAAAAACAAAACAAACAAACAAAAAACAACAACAACAACAAAAAAAACCCAGTAAAGTAGAGATGCTCTAAAGACATTTGATTTAAGCTTCAAGCCCTCTAGGCCAGGGAGCTGACTCAGCTACACATATCATAAAGTCTAAGGACCGCAGCTCCTTCTCTGGGACCAACATGGTAGGAGAGAGCTAATCCCATAACACATCATCCCCTGACCTTCACATGCTCCTACACAGACACAAAGTAAATTTAAATGTTTTTAAAAACTTAAAAGCCTTATGCCAGGCGCAGTGGCACATGTCTGTGACACACACACTCGAAGAGGCAGAAGTAGGCAGATTGCTGTGAGCTCAATGCCAGCCTGGTCTACAAAGCTAGTCTAGAACAGCCAAGGCTACACAGAGAAACCCTGTCTCAACAAACAAACAAACAAACAAACAAACAGCCTTTAAAGGCCTTCATTTATAAACCAAAACATTCAGGGCTGATGAGATGGCTCAGCAGTGAAGAGCACTGGCTGCTCTTCCAAGCACCTAGGTTCAAATCCCAGTACCCACATGGCAGTTCCCAACTGTCTGTAATTCCAATTCCAGGGGATCTGACACCCCCACATAGACATACATGGAGGCAGAACACCAATGCAAATAAAATAATTAATTTTTTAATATTAAAAAAATAAAACACAACATTCTAAGGTGAGACAAGAAGATTGGTGGAGACCAGTAGTTCAGGATAACCTTGGGAAATATAGTGGGACCTCATTCCAAAACAAAATAAAATGTTTGTCTCTGTCTTTAAGCAACTAATAAGGTTTTGTTCTGTTTTTTTGGTTCTTGTTTGCTTGTTTGTTTTGCCAGACATGTTGGCTTATTCCTGGAATCCTAACACTGGAGAGGTTGAGGCAGGAGGCCAGCTTTAGCTATATAGAGAGCCTCAAAAGCAATCAAATAAAACAAAAAGACCAGAGTTTTCTGTTTGGTTAATTTCCACAAATTACCTATAAAAGATTGTGCTTTTCAACATGTTTTTTTCTCAAATGCATGAGGTCTCCTTTGTCTTCCTTACTTGAATTTCTGTCTCAATAAAACAAGAAGGTACTCTAGAGTTTTCAAGTTCCAGTGGAAGGGAGGCTGGGCTTTCTTGATACAGGCTGACTTGCTTGAACATGATTATTTCTATGTCTGGTCCACTGCAGTAGACCAGTGCAGTTCTAAGTAACTCCTTGCCTCTAAAGATCTCTCTAGGCTGTGGGCACCTCTGACTAGGACTAGCTTTAGTCATCATCCCAGTGACCAATGAGGAGTAAACAGCATACACAAGACATGTACAACAGTAGCTGTTTAATATGGCTGACTGGAACCCCAGGCTCCGGAGC